TTAACAGAAACACTGAAAGTGATTTTTGTCCCTGATGAATCAGTGCAGTAGCATTGGCTGTCTGGATGCCTGCAGCTGCACAGTATCTTCAAATCTTAGTCCTCCAGCTTTGCCTGTGAATCCATGAACTGGCTCTATCTGAATAATATTTTGGGAGGGAGAGTAATAAATTAGCCAGTGCTAGAGCCTGCTACTTATAAAACAAAACTGTAAATGATGAAATAAATAAGTATAATAGTAATCAAATATATATCCCCAGCATAATTACATACATGTGTATATATATATATATATGTAATGTGATTAAATCTGTGCAGTTTCAATGTAACACTTATATCTTTTAATTCCATTTTACATAAACTTTAAAAGTATGCTTTCATTGTACACATGAAACTTGCTGACTGGAAAGAGAATCAGTGTTATAGATCTTGAATATCTTCTTCTAGGAGACAGGACTTACATGACACTAATAACATTTGCTTCTTTTTTATATAGCTATAATCGTCAAAAGACACCTTTAAGTTTCCCACCTACTGCCTCTCTATCTTATTTCTATACTCACTGGTATAATAAAAAAAAACATCATAATCAGAAGTATGCTTCCTTGATAATACAAAATGAACAGAGTTTGTTTTATGATGAGTAGCAGCATGAAGCATCATGTGAGAATGGTCAGATACCAGGTAAGAGCAAGTGTTACCACTGTGAGGAACTGCACTTTTGAGGAATGTGTTTGCTATAAACATTCTCAGAAATATGCATTATATTAGAACATAAAATATATTCATTTAAAAAAGTTTCAGCTTCAAATATTCATTTCTATGTTTGGATCTGATTTTCCTCAAACATTCATTAAGGAGTCTAAGCATCAGTCTTAGGTTGATGGCAAATGAGAAGTTAATGCAATTATGACATTCGGAAATGAGTTCTTTGGAAATTGATTACATTGGACTAAAGCATTGTGGTGGCATCTCCATGACTGAATGCCAGTAGCTTTATAGGGGACATAGACAGACACAGACTTGCATGCATGGCTCTTGCTGTGAGCCTCCTGAGGACTTCCAGAAACAAAGCCAACACCAGAAGATGAGCCAGTGGGGACTTCATGATCTTGTGCTGTGAACCTCCAGAACTGCGAGCCACAGTAATTCCCCCCAAGCATGCCATCATACATTAAAAAATGTGGCCAATACACTCATGTCCAATGAGAATGTATTTCCTCACAATTACATAGCAGGATTATTTTTGTATAACTTGTTTAGATAACAACATTCTTTAAACATAATGTAAAAGACATGAAATTTTGACATAGTTTATTAGGGGAAAAAAGTGATCATGAAATGGTGAGAAATAACTTTTAGTTCTTCTTTCTAGGTATATTAAATTTATAGCATAAGAATAACTGAGGACAGTAGCTCCTGAGAAGTTGGTTATTTTTGCCAATTTTTCAGCGATAAAGATAGCAAAAATGTTACCACGTTAGCTTACAGGATCTCGTGATATAAAAATTAAACTCAATCGGTAACAGTGTTTAAAGGACAAGAATACAAAACCATATAGAGACATATTATCTACATTGAAATCAATCTCTCAATCCTGCTTTTGTGGAAAGTCTCATCATATTTATTTATTTGAGCACTGAATAAAAGTCTCTTCCCTCATCAGGACATTCAGATTAATCATTGAACATTACTAATTTATTCTCCTTGATTTGAGCATCTTGAGGGAGAAAAACTGGGCTTTTTGGATTTGTAAACCCAGACAGACTGTTATGTTAGCTGCTTTCAACTTACTAATTTCCCAGTGACCTGTTGAATGCTCGCTTGTACATTCAGTAGATAAAATGTTATATTCTGTAATTAATGTAAATGAGTGGATATTTTTCATCAAAAATTTGGTGAAATTCTTTAATGGTTCAAACAGTTTGTGCTGACATGGTGTAATGAAATTGATGACGCAACAGCCTGTTTCAGAAACTCACATGAAATTTTTGGCAGACATGAAACATGTATATGTGTGTGTCTCAACCTTGTTCATTCATGCTATTGTCTCTGTTGTGATATGTTTGAATTTTGTGTGTAGTTGGTTTCAGAGAGAAAATTGGAGACTTGATTAATTAACTTTTAATATAACAAGAAGTCAGCAGGTTGGTAATGCATCTATTAGTTCATAACTGTTTCTGCAGACATTGTTTATGTATTCATTTCCAGACGAGTACCTCATATTCCATTTCCATTATCAGTTAGAAGAGATACCCTCTACTGTCTTTATATTAAGTAGTTTATGTGGTATTTTTCAATAAACTAGGTAGAATGAATTGCCTATATTTTCAGGAAATATTAATATCAAAACTATACAAGCAGGGGCCAGCGCTGTGGCGCAGCGGGTTAAAGTTCTGGCCTGAAGCACCAGCATCCCATATGGGTGCCGGTTCTAGTCCTGGCTGCTCCTCTTCTGATCCAGCTCTCTGCTATGGCCTGGGAAATCAGTAGAAGATGGCCCAAGTCTTTGGGCCCCTGCACCCACGTGGGAGACCCAGAGGAAGCTCCTGGCTCCTGGCTTTGGATTGGCACAGCTCTGGCTGTATTAGCCATCTGGGGAGTGAACCAGTGGATGGAAGACCTCTCTCTTTCTCTGCCTCTCTCTGTAACTCTGTCTTTCAAATAAATAAATCTTAAAAAAAAAAAAAAAACTGTACAAGCAGACTCAATATTAAAATTAATTAAAAAATACTTACTTGATAATGCTTATTTTAAGCATTTTTAAAAGTTTTTGTTTATTTATTTGAAAGAGATATAATGAGGCAGGGCGAGATCCTCCATCCACTCATTCCTTCTCCAGATGGCCACAAAGGCCTGGGCTGGACTGGGCCAAAGTCAGGAGCCAGGAGCTCCATCCAGTTCCCTGCCATGGGTGACAGACGTTCAAACACTTGGGCCATCTTCCCATACTTATCCCAGGCCTTTAGCAGGAAGCTTGATCAGAAGTGGAGCAGGTAGGACATAAACCCACGCCCATATGGGATGCTGGCACTGCAGGCAGCCACTCTACAACCTATGCCACGATGCTGGCTCCAAGCATTATTTTATTTTAGTTCTACCTTCTAGCAACTGATCAAATCGTTAAAGTTTTCAATTTTAAATGGACTTAGTGTTAGAATGACTGGAAGTAGAGGAGTATATAGAAATGGAAATGGGGTTAGCACCGCGACTCAATAGGCTAATCCTCTGCCTGCAGCGCCGGTAACCTGGGTTCTGGTCCCGGCTGGGGCGCCGGACTCTGTCCTGGTTGGAAATGGGCCGGCCCCGTGTTTCACTTGGCTAATCCTCCGCCTGTGGCGCCAGCACCCCTGGTTCTGGTCCCAGTTGGGGCGCTGGACTCTGTCTTGGTTGCTCCTCTTCCACTCCAGCTCTCTGCTGTGGCCCAGGAGGGCGGTGGAGGATGGCCCAAGTGCTTGGGCCCTGCACCTGTGTGGGAGACCAAGAGGAGGCACCTGGCTCCTGGCTTCGGATCAGTGCAGCGCGCCCGCCGTGGCAGCCATTGGAGGGTGAACCAACAGAAAAGGAAGACTTTTCTCTCTGTCTCTCTCTCTCACTAACTCCAAAAAATAAAAAATAAATAAAAAAATTAAAAAGTTGAAAAATAAAAGAAATGGAAATGGCCTTAGTGTTAGAATGACTGGAAGTAGAGGAGTATATAGAAATGGATTTTCTTTTTTTTTTTTTTTTTTTTTTGACAGGCAGAGTGGACAGTGAGAGAGAGAGACAGAGAGAAAGGTCTTCCTTTACTGTTGGTTCTCCCTCTAATGGCCGCCGCGGCCGGAGCGCTGCGGCCGGCGCACCGCGCTGATCCAAAGGCAGGAGCCAGGTACTTATCCTGGTCTCCCATGGGGTGCAGGGCCCAAGCACTTGTGCCATCCTCCACTGCCTTCCCGGGCCACAGCAGAGAGTGGATTTTCTTTTTCAACAGATATGCAGAACTCCAAATACCAGTGAATGCACTGTCTGTCAGTATGCACAGGAGTTAATCTACCTTGAAACAAGTTCTTGATATCAAATTATTCACATGTAAATATCAAGGAAATATTTTTGTCATACTTGAGACTGCATATTCTCTGATTGTCACATACACGTGGTATGGGGGTAGTGGGATGCAGGATAATATAATAAGTAGCTTTTAACCAAAGTGAGGAACAAGCGCCACAAACAGTTCTGCCTGGAAATTATAAGCAAGGATCTGGGAATGTGCTATTCTGCAGCTGTGCTAACTCACTACACAATGAAATAAATTTAGTGGTAAAACAATAAATCTTCCTTACAAAGCGTAAGAGTTACAGCCAGAAAAAAATAAATAACTTTCAGAGCACTCTGATATCAATATTATCCAACAAAAATCCCTCCTCTATAAAATTGTCACAATTATGTTAAATTGTTAAATACATGAATTAGTTAAGCAGTTTTTTCCTATAATTGTTAAATAAACTCAAAAGACAAATATTACATGTTTATTGTTTTAGTTTCTCATGAAAATATATAGAGATGCACAACTTTTATGGCACAGTTTTATGAGAGATGCAATCACAGAACTGCAGGAGCCTCTAGAATCTGATTTCTGGGTTTATTCTGGTTTTTGCAGTCATCTTTTTGGTTAATAATTTGGACTTCTCGAGGGCAGTGCACTGGCACAGTAGGTTAAACTGCTGCCTGCAGCACTGGCATCCCATACAGGCGCTGGTTTGTGCCCCACCTGCTCCACTTTGACTGGGAAAGTAGTGTGAGGATAGCCCAAGTCCTTGGGCCTCTGCTGCCCACATGGGAGTCTTACATGAAGCTCCTACATCCTGCCTTTGGCCTGGCCCAGCTCCAGCTGATTGGGCCATTTGGGCAGTCAATCAGCAGATGGAAGATCTCTCTCTCTCAGTCTGTGTCTCTCCCTCTCTTTCTGCAACTCTGCCTTTCAAATACATAAATTATTCTTTAAAAAATAATAATAATTTATACTTCTCTCAAAGATTTCCTCTTTTATCTCTTAGGTGTCAGGAATACTCATATTAAAACACATTCTTTCAAGACAGGTTTCCTAGAGAAAAAGAGGCAGAAAAAAAGAAATTTGTACAACCCATATTTCCATGGTTCTACTAGCTTAGAGGGTAAGATCTTTGTTTTTATGTGGATAAAATATTATAATGTCTGCAAGTTAGTTTTAACTGGTTAAAATTGTGTATGTGTGTGTGTTTCCCCTACTTAAAGCAAATACCAATATCATACTCAGTAAATGTCATATTGAAACGTTAGTTAATATTAAATCCAAATTAATATTTCCCTACTACAACAGGAATGACCTTTTTATTCATGTATGTTCAAACCAACATTCAATAACAATGCACAATGAATATTCTTTTTAGATATAAAAAACAAGATCTTTGAACATCTCTTTGGATATGTGACGATATTAGGATAATCAAATTCCTGTTGGATACTGAAGACTGAGGAATAAATTGTTAAAATACACAGAGGTGTATTTGAGTAAATATGTAATTTGTTAGGGTGTCAGTTTTGAATGTATAAAAATGAGAAAATTTTAGCATCTACCTTAGAATACCTGTGGGGTTTTTTTTTTTGTTTTTTTTTTTTTTTGTTGTTTGTTTGTTTGTTTGTTTTTGACAGGCAGAGTGGACAGCAAGAGAGAGAGAGAGACAGAGAGAAAGGTCTTCCTTTTGCCGTTGGTTCACCCTCCAATGGTCGCTGCGGCCAGCGCACCGTGCTGATCCAAAGCCAGGAGCCAGGTGCTTTTCCTGGTCTCCCATGGGGTGCAGGGCCCAAGGACTTGGGCCATCCTCCACTGCACTCCCTGGCCACAGCAGAGAGCTGGCCTGGAAGAGGGGCAACCGGGACAGAATCCGGCGCCCTGACCAGAACTAGAACCCGGTGTGCCGGCGCCACTAGGTGGAGGATTAGCCTAGTGAGCCGCGGCGCCGGCCCGCTGTGAGGGTTTTAAAGGTTAACATGTCAGCAGTATTTGCAGCAATTCCTGGATGATAAAGGAGAGGCAGTATTAACACTTGCCTACTCCACCCAGACCCTGAGCTCTCATGACCTGGTGCAGTGATTATCAAGTTTAAGCCATCTGGTTTCAACTCAGCACACCTGTACACTTTATTGCCTTCACTGGGATGTTCTAAAGCAAAACCCAAATGTCATAGCTGTGTATCTATAAACTCTTCAGTATGCAGACTATAACTCACGTTTATCACTCCCTTTCACTCTGTCACTGATGTTTCCCTTCCTCTCTTCTCTCCCTCCTCCGTTCCCTCTCTCCTACAAAAGCATTATCAAAACTAATGTTTACAATGAGCCTTTAATCATACGTTATAACAAGTCATTACTCCAACTTTTGGCAATTTTGCAAAAAATCTTTGCCATACCTGTATCAACATTCAAACAAAATGCACACATTATGTTAACATACTTCTTAAGTCTTCTTTAATAATAGTAGATACAAATTTGGCATGGTGGTGTAAAATGCTTACAAGATGTCTAGCATTTGAGATAAAAGTTTCCATAGCCAACTAAAACAGTTGTCGAAAAATGTCTTGCACATCAGTGTAGTTTTCCTTAATGCTAACGGTGAAGTGCCTGAAGGCGTACAGCAACAAACTAGCAATCATTTGATCCTCTCCCACTTCGATGTGATCATATGTGCAATAGTGAGCTGTTTTACATTCATCAGAAGCAAACCAAGCACTTGGTAAATCTAAAAACCTAGTTTATTTTTTAAAATATCTGGGGTTTTTTTTTGTTTGTTTTAAACAGAAGTCGATTTACAGAACATGCTGTAAGGATGCAATGGGCAGGCAGGACAGCTAGAAACTGAGTGTAGCCGGCGCCGCGGCTCACTAGGCTAATCCTCCGCCTTGGAGTGCCGGCACACGGGGTTCTAGTCCCGGTCGGGGCACCGGATTCTGTCCCGGTTGCCCCTCTTCCAGGCCAGCTCTCTGCTGTGGCCAGGGAGTGCAGTGGAGGATGGCCCAAGTGCTTGGGCCCTGCACCCCGTGGGAGACCAGGAGAAGCACCTGGCTCCTGGCTTTGGATCAGCACGGTGCGCCGGCCGCAGCGGCCATTGGAGGGTGAACCAACGGCAAAGGAAGACCTTTCTCTCTGTCTCTCTCTGTCTCTCTCTCTCTCTCACTGTCCACTCTGCCTGTCAAAAAAAAAAAAAAAAAAAAAAAAAAAAAGAAGAAGCTGAGTGTGGCTGCGCGGAGACTGCAGTCCGAGAAGCACTCTTGGAACTGCAGGATCTTCTTAGCTACGGGGAGTTTGCCAAGGTCAGACAGCTTTCCCAGCCAGGTAAAGCCATTTCTGGGCTCTGGAGCAGTGAGCCAGCACTGCCCTTATCTTACGGGCTTTATCAGTCTGCCAAGTGCCCTAGAGCAACTATAATACACGTTCCCTCCCGGGAGAGCCACAGAAAAAAATCTTTCCCATTTAGCCAAAGGTCTCACCTCCTACAACAGGTTCATGTTGGACAGCAGTGTCCTGTTCTCCCTGCCAGCTCCACGGATGGCCCGGCTGTTGCAGGGATCTAGCAGGTCAGGGAACCTCAGGGAAGTTCTTTGACCAGAAGTGGTAGCACATGGTGAGCTGTGTGCTCTGTGATTGGTTGCCCAAAAGTGAACTACATCATGGGAAGCTCCTATTCGTAGACACATCATTCAGCCTTCTGTGACGACGTCCAGATTTCTGATACTATCTGTCATCGTTGGCGAGGGGGGCATCTCTAGTGGTTGTGGTTCCAACCAAGTTCCTTTCGTTTCCCATCTTTTCCGTTCCTTAGCCTGTCATGTCCTACCCTGTCCTGTCTTGACTTTTCACTTTGATTCATTAGTTCGTTTATTTCTTCCTTTCTCTCTCTCTTTATCTCTCTCTTTCTCTCCTTCCTTCCTTTCTCTCTTTCTTTCTTTCAACATTTGCCATCAGACTGTCTCACATAAGAACCTTTCCTAGAATAGATTTTTTTTAAAGTAAAGTGTTTAAATAATTTAAGAAAAAAGTAAACTGTGAAGACAGGAAATCTATACTTAGTGCATGTATAACTTTCTTGAATACTACTTTACTTTTGTGCATGTTATTTTCTACCTACATGCCATCAGCAACTGGGTAGTTTTTTTTTTTTTTTTTTTACTGTTATCACATCAGTTTTTTGAACTAATTACTCATCCTATAAGTAATTTATGGGGGATTTGGTAATGAAACAGTTATATTAATGTACATGGATTCCTTTCAGATGGTTTTGCATCTGGCTTCTCAAGCTAAATATATGTACTTTTGATTTTTTAATAGACCAGAAAGTTGTAAAATAAAATATTTAAAGAGTCAAAGACTTCAACAAATCCCCTAGAAATTTTACAAATATGTCAACATCATTTTTAAACTGGTGTTTTTAAGGAACAACAGGCAAGAAAATAGTCTTCTAAGTATTTAAAAGGAACTTAAAACACCAATTCATATTTCACTTGGATGTGTTTCTTTACAGCCTAATAATATTTCAAAAATAAAATGAAAATTGGTCCAGCTGTAGATATTCATTCAATTTAAGGAAAATTGTGGGGGAACATGAATTATAAAATAATTGCTCCAACTCTTCACTTTATTTTGCATGTGTGTAAGCAGAACCAAAGATGAATTCTATCAGTGGAGATGAAATAACCCAATTTTTATGACATTGGATTTTTTCCAGATGGAGGAATATTTAAGTAGAGTGTTTAAAATTCATATTTTTATTCTTTCATTTGCTGACACATGATTCTGTAGCCTAAGTTGTTCCAAGTGCAGATGTTCTTATTGCTAGATTCATCTGTGCCAATAAAGTAAAAGCCATGGATAAATGCAGACTTTATGTTTGAATTACCCTGCTAAATAGCAGCATCCTGTAATCAAATGCTAGCTTTACATTGCTAATTCAAATGTCCATGTTTGTATATTGAAAATATCCGCCTAATTATCTGATTTAACTATGCAATATCTGTCATGGAAATAATATGACAGTGGTCGTATTTCTTTAAAATAACTTTAAAAAGAATGTCCTATGGCATTATTATAGACAATAGAAACCCAGCAGTCCAGTGAGGACATCCTTTTCCCTGTGTTCTTCCGTACATCGACTGCCGTTTGTATGTTGCCTGCGCTCACACGTTATGAGCTCTGGGAGCACTGCCTGCCCCACCTTGACCTCTACTGTCACCTCAGAGCCACTCATTCTTTCTTTCTGCTGAATCCTTGACAGGGGCAGGTTCTTCTTCCTTAATGGGAATGCCTGCTGCTTGTCGGGCTCTGCCTCGGCTTCAGAGAGCTTTTGTAATCTCACAGATCAAACACACTTCATGGGGACAGTCCTGCTGCACCTGCCTCTAACTCACGCGTGGCTTCACACACTTCACTGTGCTCACCTGATTCATGTGGTCATCACACACACAGGATATGGTGAGCTCAGCCACTTTGTTATTAGTTATTTGAATGACAGTAATTTTTTCTGTAACATTTAATTCTTTAACACTAATAGTCATTTCTCAAAAAATAATTTGGCAAATCAATGAATTATTAAATCCAGCAAATATAATATAAGTGATCTTACAGATTTCTCAGTTTTATTATTTTATAGGAAAATCATATATGTACTTTAAAATATTTAACGTATTTTCAAATTTCTGTAATTTAAAAAGTGCTTCATCAAGTTTTAGAATAATAATTCTATTTCCTTATATGAAGTTTACATAGAGCAAAATTAAGAATCTTTTGCCAATACAGTCACTAAGAGGAAGGGCTGGTTTATTATTAATGCTTAAAGTTGTCACTGATGGTGCGCTTAATTCCTGATAACAGAGTAGGGAATCCCGGTCCCTGGGAAATAGAGGGCTCGAGAAATCATTTGGTCTGTCCCTGCCAATGCATCATAAGAAGGGACTAGAAATTCAAAGAATCTGAAACCTGCTAACTTTTAAGTTGATAATTTTTATGGCCTGCAAATCAGATTATAAATAACCAAATGGCCCTGGGAAGAAAAAAGTTTCCCCACCCCTGCATACAACACCTGTATAATCGTGCAGCCCTTGAAAAAGGCTCAGACGCTGTAGGGTGAGGTATGGTAACATTAAGGGGCATGGCTTCATGAAGATCACCTCGATGCAGAAATATATAAGAATTTCATACTTATTTTACAAGGAGTTTTCAGAAGTCTTGAACACATTTCTATATTAAAATAGAGGAAATGTTGATTTTCATAATAGGCTGAAAGAAAACAGGAGGAAGATTTCCTAAAGAAATAATATAAATATTATTAATTTCAAATATAATGACTGAATAATACAAATGTTAGTACTAGGCATTCAAAATTGAAAAACATAATATTTAACACATAGCTTTTACATTTATTTCATTAAAGACGTAAAGGCAGAGGGAAGTTGAAATTAAACCCTATGGAAGATCTCTTTTTCTGTTTAAGAACTGTGTGTGTGTGTGTGTGTGTTTTATTTTTAAAAAGAAAACTGAATTTTCTGTGCCACTGCCTTCTTTCTCCAAAACCTGAGGAAATCATAATCACAAACATGATGTCCTCAGTTCAATAGCTTAATATTAACATGTTATCTACTAAATACTGTTAGGTGAAATCATTATGTATGCTATATTTATTACAGGCATGTATATATATTACAGGCATGTAAGCTTTGATAAGAGCAGGCAAGTGCTAATTTCTTTCTTTGTGAGTAATATTTGAGACTTTTCCTTTTGTGTGCCATTATAACAAACCTCTGATGAATAACTATGAGTGTGACATATGTGCTTATATGAGAGAAGTTTTTAAATGCAAAAGTACAACTTCTGGCCTATGAGTTATTCATAGTTTTCCAGCCAGCAGTCAATATGATTTGACTACTCAGAATGGTATCCTCAACTACAAAGGTGTAATTTCAGTCTTCGCAACAGGGTATGAAAACAAAAGGAAGGCAGCAACATTTGGAAAGGAGCTGATTACAGGGGAAAAAGGCCAAAAATCAATAAACTAGTTATAGAGATAAAAATATTTTGTCAAAAGTATGTTGTTGGTGCTGGTGTTGTGGTACAGGAGTTTAAGGGCAGCCTGTGAAGCCAACAACTCATACTGGGGTGTGGGTTCCAGCCTCTGCTGCTCCATCTCTGATCCAGCTCCCTGCTAATGTGTTGGCAAAGCAGTAGAAGATGACTAAAGGGGCCCCTGCCACAAATCTGGGACACCAGGGTGGAGTTCCGGGCTCTTGATTTCCCCCTGCAATAGCCCTGACTGTTGCAGTCCTTTGGGGAGTGAACCAGCAGATGGAAGATATCTCTCTCACTCTCTCCCTGTCCCTGCCACTCACATGAATAACTAATTTTTTAAGCATTTTTCTCTTCTCTGAAAAGAAAGCTGTGAAGTTATGTTTATTTGTGGCAAAACATCAATAGCACTGTATTGTGAAGCATTGATTATTTCCTTGGGAAACCAGAGTATGAATTAAATTAATCATAGTAATATCTATGCAAAATGGAACAAGTAAGGTAAATGTGAAGGTAAGTTCATAGCCACTCTTGGCATTGCCATAAAGATTATGGTTTCCCTTAGTAACTTGGGTCTGTGGGGAAAAATGAAGAAATACCATAGACATGCAGATGGTAGCATGTTGTGCCTGATCCAAACACCATACTAGAACAGTTCCTTAGTCTCTCAATCCTCAATGTTCAACCTTTACAATGACCAAAATAGTGTTTACCTTGCTTTTGACATGGGTCTATATTGCAGTAATAATTATCAAGCAAAATTATGAACATTAACAGGCTTTTAAACCAGACAGGATTATTTAAATGTATGAAGTTTTTCACTCAATATTTCAAAACATAAAGAGTAATGATGCCATTAGGGACAGGGAACGTAATCCTGAGACTCTGAACACTGAATGCATTGCTACTTACTACTGTGAACGCCCTATGCATGCCCCCCCCCAAACACATACACATATTTTCTTAATAACTGGTTACTGCAAGTGTGTGGTATTCTAAATATACTCTGAACAATTATTACCAGAAAAGCATCTTTGAAATATTCAGGTCTAGTTGGCAGTTGAGTTGATTGTAGCCCTGGTCTGGCATTGAACCTGTGTTAATCAACAGTCTGAGTAAATGAACCAAAAAAGTGTCTTATGATTGCTGTTAACCTCAGAAGAGACAAAGGCAACAACTGCTGTGGTAACAGTTCCATGGGTGCCAAGGGAATTGCTGCACTGCCATTGCCTGCATAAGCTGACAGCTGTCACGTCGTTTGTTTTACTCTATAATTTCAGGCATTTCATCTTGGCTGTTAAATTTCAAAGTTAGCATAGAAATTATGTGAGGCTATATTGAGTTATATAAGTAATTACTTCAGTTAATCAATTGTTTATTTTCAATAGTAATTTATCACATGAGGGATAATTTCATGGATGTGTGCATTATATGTATACATATGTATGAAATGTCAAAGTCAGTGGGAATACTAGGAACACAACATACAAGATATTGTGAACTGAGGCAAAGAGAAAATAATCACTGTCCAAATGTTAAATTATTATATACTAGGCAACAATCCATATGTATAAAGAAT